ATAGTTGTTAACTATTTTTCACCTCGTTTCAGTCAGTCAACAAATTTTTCTACATAGCTACTATGTGCCAGACACTAATGTTAGAAATGTATTCAAATCCTAATACAACAACATCCTTGTCATTAAGAAGTAGAGACTAATGGACAGAAAAGTTCAACGTAATAGGTCCAAAATTGAGTATCTACGTTTCCTCTTTCTGTTAACTGAATATATATTAGGAGATTTTAATATCTTCATTATCATCCAGGCTAAAACCTGTGACTCTCAATTCCATATTCAATGCGTTGCCAAGTAAATCCTATTCTTTGTTTGCAATATTCTATTCCCATTGCCACAGCCTAGTTCAGGACATTAAACATTTTCATCCAGACTGCAACAACCATCTTTGGAAGTGTTCTCTAGTTTCTCATCTAATCCATCCTGCACTCAACTGACAAATTTTCCTACACCACACATGCGATCTACCACTTAACTGCATAAAAATGTTAAGTGGTTGGCCGGGCGCGGTGGCTCAAGCCTGTAATCCCAGCACTTTGGGAGGCCGAGGCGGGTGGATCACGAGGTCGAGAGATCGAGACCATCCTGGTCAACATGGTGAAACCCCGTCTCTACTAAAAATATAAAAAATTAGCTGGGCATGGTGGCGTGTGCCTATAATCCCAGCTACTCAGGAGGCTGAGGCAGGAGAATTGCCTGAGCCCAGGAGGCGGAGGTTGCGGTGAGCCGAGATCGTGCCATTGCACTCCAGCCTGGGTAACAAGAGCGAAACTCCGTCTCAAAAAAAAAAAAAAAAAAAAATGTTAAGTGGTCTCTCAATAGGTAAGCCAGGTTCAAATTATTCTTCAGCTTGGCATTTAAGATCCTCCATTATCTGGTCATTAGCAATTACTGTACTACTTTTTTATGTCTGTTACCCACGATTTCCTTACCTTTTGCTCTGGCCAAGCAATGCTATTTAATCATATCCTGGAAACTCCTAAAATGTTTCCTATCTCTCTATCTTCATTTATGTCATTTCTCCTCCAACCCCAGACCAACTCCATTGTGATTAACAATCTCATTAGGAAGTTGAACCTACCTTTGGTTCTTATAACACCATTTCTCTAAAATCTTCTCTCCATTCCTTGAATCTATAATATATGTAAAGGTCTTTTATATACTTACATATTTATTTCTATTATAATTTGTGTATGTGTCATATTGTTCCTAAGATTCTAAACAACTTGAAGCGTGAACATCATTTTATCTCTGTCCTCCCAGTACACTGCAGTACAGGACATTGCATACTGTTGATATCCAACAAATACTAAATGTGTGTTGAATTTGAAATACAACATATACATAAAATAGTAGATATAGCCATAAAGTTATAAAGGAATTTTCTTTCACTCTCTTGTATAAGAAATTATTGCCATGAGAATATCTTTTTTTTTTTTTTTTTTTTTTTAAGACAGTTTTGCTCTGGTTGCCAGGCTGGAGTGCAATAGTACAACCTTGGCTCACTGCAACCTCCGCCTCCTGGGTTCAAGTGATTCTCCTTCCTCAGCCTCCCTCACAGCTGGGATTACAGGTGCCCACCACCACACCCACCTAATTTTGTATTTTTAGTAGAGATGGGGTTTCACCATGTTGGTCAGGCTGGTCTCAAACTTCTGACCTCAAGTGATCTGCCTGCCTAGGCCTCCTGCTGGGATTACAGGCATGAGTTACCACATCCAGCCGAGAGTATCTTTAAAAATCATCTTATTTATTTATTGAGACAAATTAAAAGGTACTTCTCCCTCCCCCATCTTTAATCAGTATATCTTCTTATGTGTGCATGAATTGTTACACTATCTTCCTTGACTCAGATATAAAGCTGTTTTCCAAGGTTTCAATTTTAAATTATCGTATGTACCTACTGATCATACATGAAACTGCCTTACCCTTGAAAACAGTTTAGAAGGAAATAGCTGGGCTGATATCCAGAATCTACAAAGAACTAAAACAGATTTACAAGAAAAAAAAACAAGCCCATTCAAAAGTGGGCAAAGACTATGAACAGACACTTTACAAAAGAAGACATATATGAGGACAACAAGCATATGAAAAAATGCTCATCATCACTAGAAGGAAACAGCTTGCCTGAGGTTGACTCAAAACCTACCTACAGCATGCTGGGAGGCCATGGTACAATTATACCTTTCTGTTTCTGCTTATCCCCCAACTCCATAATATGTACCAATCCAAATGTTTGTTCAGAGACTATACCTTCAGGTTCAAAAGTTGCAAATAATAGGTGGTTTTAAGTTCAACAATTTGCCAAAGATTTACTGAATTCCTTTTTGAAAAGCACTATGGGGACATGAAAATTAGTAAGACATTTTTCATCTTCTGGGACTCATGATTAAATGCATAGCACACACACATAAACAATTCCATTATATGGCAAATTATGTAAGTGATAAAAAGCTTCGAGCCGGGCGTGGTGGCTCAAGCCTGTAATCCCAGCACTTTGGGAGGCCGAGGCGGGTGGATCACGAGGTCGAGAGATCGAGACCATCCTGGTCAACATGGTGAAACCCCGTCTCTACTAAAAATACAAAAAGTTAGCTGGGCATGGTGGCGCGTGCCTGTAATCCCAGCTACTCAGGAGGCTGAGGCAGGAGAATTGCCTGAACCCAGGAGGCGGAGGTTGCAGTGAGCCGAGATCGCGCCATTGCACTCCAGCCTGGGTAACAAGAGCGAAACTCCGTCTCAAAAAAATAAAAAAATAAAAAATAAATAAATAAATTTTAAAAAAAAGCTTCTAGGCCGGGCACGGTGGCTCAAGCCTGTAATCCCAGCACTTTGGGAGGCCGAGACGGGCGGATCACAAGGTCAAGAGATCGAGACCATCCTGGTCAACATGGTGAAACCTCGTCTCTACTAAAAAAATTACAAAAAATTAGCTGGGCATGGTGGGGCGTGCCTGTAATCCCAGCTACTCGGGAGGCTGAGGTTGCAGTGAGCCGAGATCGCGCCATTGCTCTCCAGCGTGGGTAACAAGAGTGAAACTCCGTCTCAGAAGAAAAAAAAAAAAAAGCTTCTAACAAGGTATAAATAAATAGTGCTATGAAGAGAGATTAATAGTATCTGAAATGGCTTCAAAATGAGAAATAGGTCTCTGTTTGGCCCTTTTTAAAAAGTCAAGCAATAGCATTAAAGATTTTGAAAATTATTTTTAAGTAATTTCATTTATTTTAGGTATTTTTATTCACTAGCGTCATAACAATTGGATTTTTTCCACTGAAAATGTACGGAATTTAACATTTATGTTAAAACGTTAAATGGATTGTTTGAGGCTCACCTGGAAACGTGGGAAAATGTATTTTACAAGCCAAACTTGAACTTATAGTCCAGTTTCAGATAGGGTTACTGGATATACTGTGTAGTTCCTTTGAACATACACAGACAAACGTGCCTATGTTCAAAGGAAACATACCTTAACATGTGTATGTTCTAAGGAAATACACAGCTTGTCCAATAATCTAATACGTTATTTAAAATTCTACTTTAAGAGAAAAAGTAGACACATATAAATGGGCCACTCAATTTTTACAGAAATTTGTTAATCATATCAAGAGTCCTCACATAAAAGAAAAACAACTTAACAACTGAAAATAAAATTCAGAGCCCTAGACCTTTCTTGATTCATACCACCTCCTCTGTCAACCCTGGCCTCTTGATATATGGCGAAAGGTTGGGATCAAAGCATTTGCTGTCCCAGGAAACTCTATGGATACCATTCTTAGGTTTAGATACTTCTTGAAGATTCTGATTTGCACGATCTAACTCTGAACGTGTTGAGCACTGTATTAACAAATGAAAGGACCACATTCATCTCGCTTTAAATAACTCGCACAGGGGGGTGGGAAAAGTCCCAGTTGACAGATGCCAAGGGAGCAAATTTTAAAAAGAGGAAATTATGACAGATAGAAGTGGAAGCAAACTGGGGAACTTAGTTCAAGTCGCTACTATTAAAAGAAACTTTGAGCTCTTAATTACATGACAGCATTCATCAGACGTTTCTGTGATTACTGAATGTAACAGGTAAGCAATATATGATGTAAAAAAAATTAGGTTAAATTTATATATCGTTTAATAAAATATATTTGCTCCTAAATATCTCATCCAAAGCAATCTCTTCAGATTAACTATAAATACAAAGGAACTAAAATCAGATTATGCAGATTAGACAGGGGGACGCTGGGAACGAATAACTAGCATGTAAGTTCGGTAACAACGTTACAGGGAGCAGTTTCTTGCTACAGAAGACAGACGAAGGAATCCTGAAAACAGGCTGAGCACAGGAATATTGCATACTGTAGTCACCCAGCACTAATTCAACAGCTAGCGGCTCTATCCTGCCTCACGTTCCTCGTGGCCTCTGACAAGTCATTCCTTTAACCTGTGAGGCTGTCCGCTCTTTCCCTTGGAAAATAATGTCCGTGCAGGTGGTAAGATCTCCCTCACAAACTACTTACTTCCACTTCCCCGCCCCGGGAAGATGAGTCTCCACGACGGGGAAAGGTCGCACTGACAGAGAAGGAAGTTACACGAAGTGGTCTCTCCCGTGGTCGGACCCGAGCCTAGAGCTCAGCAGACGCGGGGTAAAGGAAGCGGGTGGCCTCTCAAGAAACCGGGATGGAGCCGCGGATGCGAGCCCGCGAGGCAGGCTCCGTGTGCCCGGGCACCGGCAGGAAGAATGGAGGAGGGGAGGCGAGGCGGCGAGGTGCCGGGGAGCCGGGCGGCGGTCCGGCCCGCGGCCGACCCCACCCCAGCCCGCGCTCGGGACCCTCCCAGCCCTGGCGCCCCGCGTGCGTTCCGCGTGCGCCGACTCTCCCCGGAGGAACGGCCTCCGTCTCACACCCAGGGACTGGAGAAATCCGGCAACTTTGCGCTTAAAATGCTTCCCACCCTGCAGCACGCCGAGAAAGGAAAAAATGTCAGGCGATGACGGGGGAGGAAGGATGACTTACCCATGTTGCTCCCCGAGGGTGAGGAACTGGCGGGGCGAGGCGAAGGTCTCCGGTGCGGGCAGCGCGGGTCCGTGTCCTCTCTCTACCTCCGTCTCTCCCGCAGCCAGGGAGGGACCCGCGGGGGGCGGCCGCCGGGGAGGAGCAGCTGGTGCTGCTGCAGGCGGCTCGGCCGCGGCGGGGACGAGCGGCGGGGGGCGGGGCGGGGCGGGGTGGGGCGGGGCTGGCGAGCGCAGCCTGCGGCGGGCGCGGCTCCGAGGGGGAGGGCGGCGGAGGCGCCGGAGCCGGCCTGAAGTGCGCCGGCCCGGACTCGCGGCCCGAGAGCGCCCCGCCCTCCCCAGCGAGCATGCTCAGTGCCTTTTCCACCCCTCCCTCGGTGGCGAGTGAGGCTGAGCGTGCAGGTGGGCGTGTGTTTGCGGAGCGGCTGCAGCCGCCGCTGAGGAGCCTGGTGGTGGCCGTCTTAGCGGCGGAGGGTGGGCCCGGAGAAAGCAGGGAATGGGGATATTGAGTCCGATCTGCTAGCAGACGATTCACCGCTGCCTTGCTTTCCGCACCCTGATCCACCCGGAACCTGGGCCCGCTTTCGTTACGGGACAACCCGGCCGCACAGGCCGGAATTAATCCGAGGAGACGCTGGGCCACCGCAGAGCCGGGAGGGGTGGTGGGAAGCCAAAGCGGACGCCCCGACACCGAGCTGGAAAGGATGTGTAGGCGACGAGGCCTGCTCCTCTTGGGGACACTGAGGACGCCCGCTGGGCAGCGGGCCGAGGGGCGGCCGCCGGGAGGGCGCTCGATGGCAGGCGTGTCGTTGGGACAGTTACAGCTGCTCTAGTTGTGGCCAGCTTAGAAACAGAGGTCCCGGCAGCGAGGAGAGCGCCCGCCCCAGCATGTTCCCGGAGAGCGTGTCGTTCTCTCTCTTGGAGGGCGCTGGAAAGGCCCTTTAACCAGGGTGCCGTCGTGCTCCACCCGCTGTCTATGAAAGCGGGAGGAGCAACGTTCCCCAGGCTTGAAAATAAGCGTCCTGCGGGGTTGGCTGCGGCACCGCCAAGCTAACCCAGCGGAGGTCCTGCGATCCCGGGGCTGCCGCCCGCTCCCACCACCCCCACCTCGGCGGCGGGGAGCACCTAAGCAGGGCGCTCCCACTGAGCGTGCCCTCCCCACCGGGCATGCGCGCGAGGCCGGGGCTGGCTTCGGTCCTCTGCCCTGGGGGGAGGAGGCTGGAGGAAACCGATTTCTCTGCACACGAATCTTGCCCCGGCCCCTCTACGAGTGGGCTGAGGAATCTGGTCGCTCTCCGACGCTGCAGCGACCGCAGTCCTTCAGAAGAGAGGGCACAGACAGCAGTACAACCTGTGGGAGAAAGATAGCTGAAGTGAGGTTCCCCTGTCAACTTTCGCTAGGTCAGTCCCATGTGGAGAAAGGACTTTTTTTTTTTTTAATTAGTCGCTCATTCTCACAGTCATCAGTTTCTGCTTGATGACTAGTATTTCGGGCACACAAATCAGAAGGAGCCCTGTAATTTAGTAGGCAAAGAGCAGGTTTTATGGGATTTTTCTAAAGCAAAAACGGTACTTAAAAAAAGGTTTGATAAAACAGAAAAATACAATCTAACTACTGAAGTCGAAGATATGGGACTTTTCTGATGCACAAGACCAGCAGGCACCTCACTCTCTAAGGGTGATCTTCCTGTTTGCCTCTCAAAATAATCACACTAAATTAGTTCCCTGGGGCATGCTGTAAGATACCAGAAATCAGGTGGCTTAGAACAACAAATTATTATCTCACAATTCCGAAAGCCAGAAGTCTAAAGTTAAAGTATAGGCAAGGCTGGGCTGTGCTCCCTCTGAGGGCATTGGGGAAGGATCTCTTCCAGGACTCTCTCCTAACTTCTGGTAGTTTGTTAGCTTGTGGCAGCATAACTCCAATCAGAACATGGCTGTTCTCCCTGTGCGCTTTGTGTTCGAATATCCCTTTTTAATAAGAACAGCAGTCATAACAGATTAGAGGCGAACCGTTCTTCACTATGAACTCATGAACATTAATTATATATGCAATGACCCGATTTCCAAATCCGGTCACATTCTGAGGTACTAGGTATTAGGGTTTCAACTTAAGAATCGTGCCAGCCTGGCCAACATGACAAAACCCTATCTCTAACTAAAAATACAAAAAATTAGTTGGGACCAGGCACAGTGGTTCATGCCTATAATCCTAACACTTTGGGAAGCCGAGGCCGGCAGATCACTTGAGGTCAGGAGTTGGAGACAAGCCTGGCCAACATGGCAAAACACTATCTCTACTAAAAAATTTTTTAAAAATTTAAACAAATTAGCTGGGCATGCTGTAATCCCAGCTACTCGGGAAGCTGAGGTAGAAGAATCGCTTGAACTCAGGAGGTGGAGGTTCCAATGAGCTGAGATGACACCACTGCACTCCAGCCTGGGCCACAGAGCCAGACCCTGTCTCGAAAGAAAAAAAAAATGAACTGGGGAGGGGTTCACAATTCAACTCTTTTTTTTTTTTTTTTTTTTTTTTTTTTTTTTTTTTTGAGACGGAGTTTCGCTCTTGTTACCCAGGCTGGAGTGCAATGACGCGATCTCGGCTCACCGCAACCTCCGCCTCCTGGGTTCAGGCAATTCTCCTGTCTCAGCCTCCTGAGTAGCTGGGATTACAGGCACACACCACCATGCCCAGCTAACTTTTTGTATTTTTAGTAGAGACGAGGTTTCACCTTGCTGCCCAGGATGGTCTTGATCTCTCGACCTCGTGATCCCCCGCCTCGGCCTCCCAAAGTGCTGGGATTACAGGCTTGAGCCACCGCGCCCGGCCACAATTCAACTCTTAACACACCAGTGCAAACCCCACCCTCAGCCCTACTCACTGCCTCCACATCTGCCATGTTACACGTTCATTTTATTATACCCCAGAAGACCAGCCTGGGCCTTTGCATTGCTGCTCATCATTTTTTTGTCCATCTCTCCTTAACCTTCATTATCTCTTCCAGATTCTCAAGTTAACTTGCTTTATTTTTCCTACTTCCTTATCTAATTACATACTACAATAATTTCATAGTGTTTCCTATCATTTGGATGTAAGCATTGAAATTAGCAAAAGCAGCTTAAGTGGTTTTGTTACGTCCCACCTGACACTAATTTAAGTGCCTTTTTGTTCTGCCTCAATCTACAAGCCATCCCCTTAGCCCTCCTGCCAATTGAAACCAAAGGGTTGTTCAGGCTTCATGCATATACTGAATCCTAATGCTGAGAACCAATATGGATTGTTACACGTAGAAGTGAATCACTTCTGGACTGGTGTATTGCCTACCCCTTGCACACACAATGGCACCTCCTTCCCCTCTCTTTTCTTGTTCTATTATAAGAATATAATGTTTCTTTCTCATGTCTTTACTGTGCGACCCGCAGAGACCCTTCCCAAAGCAAATGAGAGCGAGGAGTTGTTAAGCCGAGTCCAGGTTTATTGGGATCTGCAGGCAACCCAGGCGGGAGGGGAGCTGAGCTGCACCCAGCAGCTGCCGGAGAGGGTTTTTATAGGGGCGGAGGCCTGTTTAGGCGAGGTGTCGTGCAGTGATTGGTGGAGGTTAAACAAAGGAGAGGGAAGAGCCTTGTGGCAAAAGGGGATTGGCTAGGTTTTGGCGGGCTGATGCCGGGGCGTGTACGGGTTTTGGCGGGCTGATGCAGGAAGGCGATTGGCTAGTCCTGTTGCTGGGCAGACCAACCTCCAGAGGCCTGCTGGATGTGGGCCCCAGATGTGGGGGATGGGCTATTTCTACCTAACATTTACTTTCTTCTTTTATCTCTTTTTTCAAAAGTTACCTACATGAGTTCTTCTCTAGTTATCTAAAATTGCAACACTTCTTCCCACTTCATATCCCCACTTCGTATCCCCACCAAGTTAAATTAGGTATTTAATAAATATTTATAATGATAATGATGACAACTGCTCTCTGTTGTTTCTATCTTAAACTCTGAGTCCTCTACTGGGTGGAGTATTTGTACTGACTTATTCACAAATTTAGTTCATAGAGATTTACTGAGTGCCTACTATGTACCAGGCATTATGATATGCACTAGGGATTATAAAAAATAAAATGGCCTCTGCCCACAAAAACCTTATATATTACAAAAATTATTCTGATGATCCTTCCAGTCATTGATTACAGAAATAGCTAGGAAATATTCTCCTGATGTCAAGAGACTCTTCCAAAATTAATCTACTAATACCCATACTGTAGGTTAGGCAATGGTCAGGATTTTATCAGGCCTGCTACAAAACAAAGGAAGTTCTGGCCCAATGCAAAGGCTTTCCATTTCAATCTAGGAAATGTTATATTTATAAAGTATCACAGATTTATTTGACTAACAATTTCTATTGAAAATTGGTTCATGATTAGCTAAGTGGAGGAGTATGAAGGAAAATGTCTTGTAGAAAAGATCAGAAGCAGTACATTTTGGCAAGACTTATAACTTACCTCATTGATGCATGTAAGCTTAAAGAGGTTAGAAGGTGATTTAAATTCTTTAGAGGAAATGTATTGGGAGGGGCAACAAGAATTAGAAAGAGAGGAGAGAATGTTCTTTAAAAGTATAATAGGGAACTGATTGCCTCCTCTTCACCAACATGTTCTGAATATCACTTAAGGGAATTTCACTGGAGTAGTTTACTGAACTCTGCAGTGATAGAAAATGATTTGGCAGTGAACAGCCTTCTGCCTAAACTGTTTACTTTTCAAAGACTTCATTGGTGAGGTCAAGTTAGTCCAGGCTGAACAACTGAAATGTCTTAACCTCAATGTAATCTCTCTCTCCCACTCCCCATTTATTTAATATTTTAACCATTTTCTAAAGGTTGTAAAATCTAAATTGTTTTCATAGACTGTCACCTCAAACTAATGTCTACATATTTCAAGCAACTACAGACCTAGATTATATACAGTTTTAAGATGGGACATACCACTTTAAAATCAGTCATATAGTTCTTGAACATTTCTTCTGAGCTCAGCACTGTGCTAGATGCTATAAAAAATAGCTATAAGTACATATCATGCAAAGCAAGAGAGTAAGACCAGTCTCTCTTAAAAGTCTCCTTTTTCTAGAAAATCTTCTAAGTTTGAGTGCTAACGTATTAAAAAAATAAAAATTAGTCAAAGATAGCTTTATAAGGAGAACATGCCTGAAAA